TTTTTTTTTCACTGCGTTGCTGAGGCTGCTTCTTTACGAGTTCTGTTGCAAGAGCAATGGCCTCTGTGGCAGCTTCATTAATTATGCCGTATTGAATGCAGGGATATTCTGCTGGGTTCCGGACACCTCTTTCCTTGTTTGTTTGTTTGTTTGTTTCGTTTTTTTTCTGCTTTTGATTTTTGTCTTCCGGATACCTGGGCCTGTTTTTTGTTTTTTTCTTCTGGATACCTGGCCCTGTTTCTTTGTTTGTTTGTTTTTGTTTTTTCTCTGTTTTATTTTATTTTATCTTCAACACTCTCGCTGTGCCTTTCTTTCTATTTGCTTTTATCTCTTTTTTTCTCTCCCATTTCTTTCTCATTCTCTGCCTCTGACTTTATTCCTATTTTTATATCCTCTATTACACTTTCTCTCTTCCTCTCCTTCTCTCTCATCTTCTCTCTCTTCTCCCCTCCCTCTCCTCCCCCCTCCCCTCCTCCTCTCCCTCCCTCCTCTCTCCCTCCTCCTATCTCCCCCTTCCCTCTCCCTCCATTTGTCTCTCCCTCCTTCCCCCCCCCTCTCTCCCTCCTGATAAAACCTGTTTTTGATACAGTTAGATTACAATACATAATTCAGTCGTTAACGCCGGTCTGCTTGTTAAGAGCGAGCGTGAGCGAGAATGAGAGCGAGATTGAGCTCACACAAAGAATGAGCCACAAACACAAGGAAAAATACCGTTAATTTTAAAAATAATATCATTTGTACTGGTATTAGTACAATTTTTTTCGACTACCACAATGAATGCAATATTTAGTAAGATGAGACGGAATTTACGATCTTAAGACGATCTTAATTTCGGATTCGTTACGAAATGCTGGTAAGTTGAGGTAACGACGTCGAACTTACGCATGTCAGATCATGTTAGCTTCACTGACGGGGATTCCTATGCCCAAATTACCGAACGAAGTGAATCGAAACGAAATGAGGAAAAAAAAACATTATAAACCCATTCTATTCTACGAACCTGGTCATTGTGACTATCATGAAATCACACAAACACCTGGAATTATACCCAGAAAATGCAACCGATTTCACCAAAGGGGAGAGAAGAAAGTGATAAAATAAATAAAATCGTTATCCTAACTTCAAAACCAGAGTCGTACATTTTTTGAACGGATGGAAGTAAGGGTTCAAGGGTTCACACCGATTCGAATAAAAGTTGAGGGTCGAACGACTGACTTCGGAGCGTGGATCTATGGGTCGATTCACGCAACCCTGGGTTATATCCGGCATTCCTGTGCACAGTGACATGGGGAAGGTACTAACGCTATATTCTGATAATGAATTTAAACAAAATGGCGTCACAAGTTCCGATCTAGCGCCGATAGAAGTGGTAGTGTTTGCCGAGCTGCGATCAGGGATGTGTTTTGTGACGGGAACTACCCAAACTACTTATTAGACGCATACTACCAAAATTACTTATTTTTGACGCACAGTACCTGAACTATTTTTTGTCACGCAAACTACCCAAATTACTTTTTTTTACGCGAACTACCGAAACTTCTTATTTTGACGCAAACTCCCCGAACTACTTATTTTTGACGCAAACTACCCGAACTATTTTTCGTCACGCAAACGACCCAACCTTCTTATCTTAACGCAAACTACCCAAACTACTTTTTGTGACGCTAATTCCCCGAACCACTTTTATGATGCAAACTCCCCAAACTACTTATTTTTGACACAAACTACCCGAACTATTTTTTGCGCAAAACCCAAACTACTTCTTTGACCCGAACTTACTCTTTACTGAAGCAAACCACCACCCTGCCACCAGACACAAGAGATCCCGATGAACAGCAACGGAACATTTTAAACGGCTTGACAAAGAGAACACACAATTAAGAGGGACGCACGACACACGAGCCTGGAACGGTTATATATATATATATATATATATATATATATATATATATATATATATATATTATATATATATATATATATACACACAACACACATATATATATGATTATAAATTACATACATATATATACATCTATATACATATATATGTACATATATGTATATATGTACATATATACATATATACATATATACATATACATATATAATATATATATATATATATATATATATATATTATATATATATATATATATATATATACATATATATAATATATATATATATATATATATATATATATATATATATATATATATATATATATAATGTTCATCTATAAGTTCCTCTGGTGAATCTTAGTCAATATATATATATATATATATATATATATATTATATATATATAATATATATATATATATATATATATACTAAAGATCACCAGAGGAACTTAAAGATGACATTTTATATATATATATATATATATATATATATATATATATATATATATATATATATACTATGGCGTCGATAGGTACCTGTACCATGATTTAGCCCGAGGCACAAATTGCATAATTTCCTCGCCGCCTCCTTACCTTCACATCTCGGACAGCATCCAGAGCCGAGAGGGGGGAGGGGGGTGTAGCACGGGACATGGCAGTGCTTGTGGGAGACTGTCAGCACGCCCGACTGGCACTCGTAATGCTGGCACCCGTCAGACCACATGGAGCCGTGTTTGTAGGTGGTTCCATGGTGCACGCAGCCTGGAATGAGGGGGGGGGGGGGGGGGGAAGGGGGTGTATGAGAGAAATTCTGTTACTAAAAAAAAGGAAAAATCTAAAGCTAAAGTATCATCAAATTAATGGTGGTGTCAATACTTAATTACGATCGGCTGTTGAAAATAATGTCTATGAATTTATGCTGATAAGAAAAAGGAATATGAACTAGATTAAAAGTGAGGTATTTCGAAAAAAGAAAGAGGAAAAATATATAGACACACACACACACACACACGTATTATACTTATATATATACATATATATATACATACATACATACATGGATATACAGATAGATAGATATATTAGACATAAATAAATACACGAGTATGCCTGTGTGCGCCACCTGTTTTTTTCTCGTATACGTTATCTACTTTCACTTCTTTCTTCCTAACAAGTTACATAATCATTAAAAAAAAAGAAAATATATCGACCCTCTCGCAGCCTCTAAGGTTCTTTAAGGATCTTCAGGCATCTTGAGAAGTGAAAGATGAGAGTTTTATTCCAGGGAAGATGGGAAAACGCGGCCGGGTCTTGCATAGAAAACGGAAGCTTAATGAAAATGGGAAATAACGAAGGGGCACATAAGGAAATGTGTAAATATAGAGATGGACAGATAAATAGACAGAATAACAATGACTGAATGGATGTATAACCGAATTAATGAATAAAGGCCTAATGGAAATACATAGTTAACCGAATAACTGAAAAAATAGTCCTATAAATACCTAAAATATAATCCTCCAATAAACCTTAAAAATTACGACCGTTATCCTGCATTCAAGAACAACTTTGCACTTGGCAACGAAGCCGAATAAATGAATAATCAAACCAAATATTCAACAAAGATAAGAAGCTTCAATCTATCTACTATTTTAAAAAACTAAATAGTAGATAGTAGACAAGTAGATAGGCAGACACATACATATATATATATATATATATATATATATATATATATATATATATATATATACATATATACATATATACATAATACATACATATATATATATATATATATATATAGTTAGGTAGACAAATAAACAAATAAATAGACACATAGATAAACAAACAAATAAACACACAAATAGATAGATAAATATATAGATAGATAGATAAATCGGCCTCACCTTTGCACTCCTGGCAACACTCGCTCCGGAGAGTCATGAGACGCCAATAACACCCTTCGAGACTCGGGCATCGCTTCTTACTGCATTTGACGATCTTGTTCTGCAACGGAAGCAAAGGGGGTGAGTTGGGGGTGGGTGGGGGGGGGGGGGGGTTGTTGTGGGATGGTGGGTTGGTGGTGTGGGTGTGGGTGTGGGTGTGGGTGTGGTGGGTGTGGGTGTGGGTGTGGTGTGGGTGTGTTGTGTGGGTGTGGGTGTGTGTGTGTGTGTGTGTCGTGTGTGTGTGTGTGTGTTGAGTTCGTGTGCGTGTGTGTGTGAGTTCGTCGTGTGCCGTGTGTGTTTGAGTTCGTGTGTGTGTGTGTTGAGTCGTGTTGCGTGTGTGTGTGTGAGTTCGCGTGCGTGTGCGTGTGTGTGTGTGTGTGTGTGCGTGTTGCGTGTGTGTATATACGTGCGTATGAATGTGTATGATGATATGAATATTCACACCAAACCATACAAAAATAGCCCTAAGTGACACTATTCTCAGACCCCGTTCTCAACACCCCCTTCCTCCTCTCTTCTCCCACTCCTTCCGGCCCTCCGGCAAAGGCGAAGAAGGGGGGGGGGGGGGGCGCCAGGAACGGAGGCTCTTGTGGTCCTCACGCCCGCGAACCCAAAAATACGCCCACGAATATCAAGTCAAAAGGACCTGGTTTATATAGTAAGAGGGGACCCGTTTCCTCCTCTGGGAAAATCCTCTCTATTTCTTTCTCTCTTTCTTTTCTTTCTCTGTCTTGCGAGGTGGGAGGGGTAGGGGGAGGGTAATGGAAAGGGGGAGGGGGAGTTGGGAGAGTTGAAGAGGAGGGAAGGGAGAGGGGAAGTGGAAGGGTTGGAAAAGGAAGGGGGGGGGAGTTTGGAAGAAGGAAGGGGAGGGGGAGGGGAGGGAGGGGAAGGGGGAGTTGGGAGAGGGGAAGGGGAAGGGAAGGGAAGGGGGAGGGGGGAAGGGGGAGGGGGGAATTGGGAAGGGGAAGGAGAAGGGGATAGCAAGGGCTGATAGAGAGGAATAGGGGATGCTCGGAGGGATGTGGGGGATAGGGGGAAGGGTTTAGAGGGGAGGGGATGGAGGGGAGCGAATAGGGATGAAAGACAATAGAGAGGGAAGGAAGGGGAGAAAAAAATGGGGGGAAGACAGGCGATTAAAAGAAAGATTTTCAAAAAAGGAGAGGTGGGAAGGAAGGAAATAGAAAGAATTGAAGAGGGAGACGCAAGGGAGTGAGAGGAGAGGAGAGGAGAGAGAGAGAAGAGAGAGAGAGAGAAGAAGAGAGAGAGAGAGAGAGAGAGAGAGAGAGAGAGAGAGAGAGAGAGAGAGAGAGGAAGAGAGAGAGAGGGAGGGAAGGAGGGAGGGAGGGAGGGGAGGGGAGAAAAGAAAGAAAGAGAGAGAGAGAGAGAGAGAGAGAGAGAGAGAGAGAGAAGAGAGAGAGAGAGAGAGAGAGAAGAGAAGAGAGAGAGAGAGAGAGAGAGAGGGAGAGATAAGAGAAACTTGC